CTACAAAAAATACAAAAATCAGCCATGTGTGGTAACATGCACCTGCAGTCGCAGATGCTTGAGGAGCTGAGGTGGGAGGATATCTTGAGCCCAGGAAGTTGAGGCTGCAGTGAGCTGTGATCATCCCCCTGCACTCCAGCCTGCACTACTACAGAGTGAGGCCCTGTCTCAAAAAATAAATATATATGAATATATGTTATATTATACTGCTACAACACATTGTATATTATATAAAGGCATAGTGTGTTTATAATATGTATTGTATAAATATATTATAATCTTAAATAAATATATATAAATTAACATTCTTTCCTTTCTTACACAAAATGTATGCTATAAACACTGTTTGGTACCTTGCACTTTTCATTTAAGTTACTCTTAAAGATATCTGAATATCATTCCTTTTCATATTTATTTTTCTTTTTGTAACAGTATAATAGTTGATTGTGTAGCTATACCATATTTTATTCATGCAATCCACTTTTTTGATATTTGCATTTTCTACTCATTTGCTATTTAAAATAATAATAATAAATAGCATTGCATTAATCTTTCTGCTGGAATCCTAGGGATTGCTGGGTCAAAGGGAAAATTTATATAAGTGTTCACTAAATATTATCGAATTACCCTCAACAGAGTGGTAACACTCCTACAAATAATACATGAAAACTCATGTTTCCCCACAAGTTCGTAATGGAGCATATTGTTTAGGATTTTTGACAATCTGATAGATCAGAAATGGCATCTCAGGATAATTTTAATATGCAGCATTCCTGTTAGGAGAGAGGTTGAACCTCTCTGACATATGTCTACGGGCCCATTCAAACTTAGTTTTTTTCAGTAAGCTGTCTATTAATATCTTCTGCCTATTATTCTGTAAAATTAATGGTCTTTTCACTTTTAGAAATGATTACATTACACAAGTTGCACATTTTTTCCTGGTTTATCTCTTTCGACTTTAAATTTACATCCACTTTGGGGCAAGCTAAATGGAAACTGCCTCCATTTCTCAAGAGAAGTCGGAAAGATGAGAATTCATTTGTATGCATGACTTTATTGCTTTACACTAGAAATGGGCTTTAAAGGACAATGTTCTCTAATTACTAATTACTGGTTTGACAACGCCTTCACATTGAAGGGTTCTAAAAACAAAATGACGGTTTTTCCTTAATGTCTCCCAATAGTTACCTGGATTAGAGTTAAATCATTTAAGCAGACATTGTGCAATGCAGTTTTCATTGGTAGGTTCACCTGAAACTTACTCAGCCTAAAGTCTGATGTTCTAATGATACCATGACATTGAATTTTATGATTACAGTGAGGATTTGGTAAAGCCCACTTAAATGATTTCCAAGCTAAACAAATTTCATCCTTGGGGCTTCAGCTACCCATTTTAACAGTGCTCAGATCAGGTGCAGAAATATAAAATTTTTCCCTGAGGCAAATTTTGGCCCTGCTCAAAGGTATTATCTTGATTTGTCCTACTTATAGAGGAAGCATAGCCTTCTACTGCAATAGCTACCCTTTAAGATGCTCACCTTCACCCTCAGTTTGGCTGATAAGCCAAATACATAGGTTTTAACTAAACAAATTTTTTTTAAAAGAATAATTTCAAACTCACTATTTCTCAGTATTTTTTCTTTCAATAAACATTTATTGAGTACCAACTATGTGCCTGGTACCTAGTAAAGAGACTGAGATAAGGCAGAGACAACAAAGGAGAAGTTTCTTGTGTTATGGGTCAGTATAGCCAAAACAGCAGAAAATGAACATAAACTCAAATAAATAATAGTACTTAGTGGTAGGTCCCAAGAAGAAAACAAAATGGGCTAACAGAAACTAACTGGAGAGGCTCATTTAGAATGAGTAATGAGGGGAAAGACTCTGCTTAGAGGGGTAACATTTGAGCTGAGAGCTGAATTATAAAAAGCTAAAATCACAGGGATCTAAGGAAGCAAGTTCCAGGCAGAGTGAGTAACAAGAGCAAAGGAGGTAAGCCAGGGGTCCCCAGCCCCCCAGGCCATAGACAGGTACTGGTCCAAGGCCTTGCAGGATGTGAGCGGTGGTAGGTGGGTGAGTGAGCATTACCACTCACTTTGCCTTTCGTCAGATCTGCCACAGCACTAGATTCTCATAGGAATGCCAACTCTACCATGAATTGCTCATGCAAGGGATCTAGGTTGCACACTCCTTATGAGGATCTAACTAATGCCTGATGATCTGATGTGGAACAGTTTCATTCCAAAACCACTGACCCATTCATAAAAAAAAATGTCTTCCAGGAAACCAGTCCCTGGTGCCAAAAAGGCTGGGGACTACTGGGCTAAGCAATAGTGGCATGTACAAGGAAAAGCTAGAAAGCTAGACTGTCTGGAGCACAGTGAGTAAAGGAGGGCATCCTTTTACATCCAGGGAGTTTTAGGTCTCTATTCCTAGGGTAAAACAAAAAGAATGTTAGAAATAGGGCAGGTATGAGAAGGTATCAAGACAGCCTTGGTTACTTCATTGTCTTTGTTTGTATACATTGTCTTTGTTTGTTTTTAGTGTGATTATAAAAGGAAAAAAAAGTGAAGATCTTGAATTTGCATCTCAAAACAGGAATCCACCTAGAATATAATTTACTTTGAAAAAATATCAAATACTATACATATATACCAGTTTATATCATTATACTTCTTAGTTGGTAAAACAATGTTGATTTTCTACCTAGCAATTATTTACCCCACCTTCCTTGCCACCAGAACCAATTTTTTCAGATGTTCAGTTAACAATGTACTCAGAGAAGGTAGGGCTAGCATCGGGGAATGAATCATAATAACTACAAGCAAACCGTGGCTATCCTATTACTATTTTCCAGTGATTCGTTTAGGGGTGATCATATGAGCCAATTCTGGTTAATGAGACATAAAAGGAAGTCTAATGAGGCACTTTTGGAAAAGTTTTATCTAATAAAAGGAGAGAGAGATGTTGAAAAGAAGCAGGAAAAATATCCCTTATTCTTCCTGCTTCTTGCTTTGGACATTTCCATTTGAAAAACTGATATAGAACCCTGATGGTGCTGAACTGCTGACCTAGCTAACCCTGAACTGCCTACCTCTGGACTTTTTATGAGAAAGCCCATATTTCTTCAAGCCACGTTTAGTCACATATTCTGTTATATGCAGGCAATGGTAACCTCAGTAACACAAATGGACACTGCATTATGTTTTTTGATTCATAGCTTTTACTTTAGGTTATTTAGCTATATACTTTGTACTCCCCTAAATGTCCTGAATTATAAAAACAAATAGTTGTCCCCAGTAAAGGTAGAAGTTCTACATTCACACTCCACAAGAGAATGTTCCCACAAATCAAGTGTGTATAAATTATATGCTGCCTATATTCTTCTGAATCCTTTCCACTGTGCATTCTATCTTTAACTTAATTACATGTCATCAAGTACCAAACCAAGTAGGCACTAAACCATAGACAAAAACATCTTATTCAAGAAGTCCTTTCCTATAAGAAGAAATATACATTTCAATGCTCTTCCATTCTTTTGAGTCAACTACATAGCTACTGTATAAAGAAGTCCTTAATAACACATATAGTTACTATAATTTCTGTGGTTAAGTAATGTATGCGTGACTCCATACAAAAAGGAGGCCTATGACTTTTAAGTTAAAAAAAAAAAATCCAGTTCAAAAAGGTTTTGAGTCATTGTATTACAGTATTTTTGGAAATAGAAGACATGCAGCTTGAGAGGAAAAGATAATTTTGGACATTCTCATGGGAGGAACAGATCCAGAGCCCTGATACTGTGCATTTACAAAGTACCTAACATAATTTTATAAATACTATTATCTCATTTAATTAGTTTCAAAGCGTATATAATTGTTCCTTTTTCCAAATTAGGAGACTAAGGCTCAAAAACAGGTACATAACATGCCCAAAGCAATTAGCTAATAAAAGAGAAAAGCAGTGCACACATGTCTGTCCAGTCAAGGATCTTTCCCTTACACAACATGATGCATTAATACCAACAATGGCATTAAAAAGCCCTCCACAATCTGGGCTCTGTCTTATTCTCTGGCCTCTTTTCTTGCCATTTCCTTACTTTGCAAGAAACCCTGATCTGTCTATAGTTTCTTACATATATGATGCTCTTTCTCTTCTCTGGGACTTTGCTCCTACCTTGCCCTCTATAAATAAGTGTCCTTCTCTTTCTCTGCACATCTTCCCCTGGATGACTTTTACACATTCTCTAAGTACGTAATATTCCTCCATTAGAAACTATTTCGTAATTTCCCCTGCCAAGATACATGATATTTCTCTTCTCCCAAAATACCTACTAGCATTGTTCTTGGTACCCTGTATCATAATTATATTTGTGCATTTGTCCCCCTCAACTCTACTGTGATCCTTCAGAATGGAAATGTTCCTTTCCCCCCATCTTTGTTTTTGCACCTAACAAAGGGATTGGCACAAAAAATATGCTGAATAAAATTTGCCTTATAAATACATTTGTAAGCAAACAGACTAGCCAACCAGTCACATTTCCTTCACAGGGAAGGATTTACCTTCTAATTTTTCCTTGCCACAGAGAAAAGTACCCTGGAAGAGGATCTCATATTGACAGAAAAATGTCCAACAAGATTTATGAAGAATATATCAAATTGGGAAGTAGTTTCTGAACTAAAATACTTACTAATAATTATGAAAAGAAAGTATATAATAGCACAGCTCTCCAGAAGCGCTTTTAATCATAAAATAGTATACAGCTCCAAACATGTTTCCTATCTCTGTTTTAAGAGTTACTATTAGGCCGGGGAAGGTGGCTCATGCCTGTAATCCTAGCACTTTGGGAGGCCGAGGAGGGCAGATCACAAGGTCAGGAAATCGAGACCATCCTGGCTAACACAGTGAAACACCGTCTCTACTAAAAATACAAAAAAATTAGCCGGGTGTGGTGGCATGCGCCTGTGGTCCCAGCTACTTGGGAGGCTGAGGCAGGAGAATCGTTTGAATCTGGGAGGCAGAGGTTGCAGTAAGCCGAAATCGCATCACTGCACTCCAGCCTGGGAGACAGAGAGAGACTCCGTCTGGAGGGAAAAAAAAGAGTTACTATTAAAAGTAAGAAACATACAAGGAAGTTGTCCTCCTAACAATCAGTCAGTAAATTCTGAAATGCAACTTCAGCAAAATTTGCTTTAAAATGTTTTAGCATAACAGCAAAATAATTTCTTTGTTTTTTCCTTGCCCTATCTTCAGCCAAATAAAAGAGTTTTTTTTTTTAAGTAAAAGTACTACACAGCTAAAGAAAGGATAGAGCTGCTTCCCACATTGGTGCTATATTTAATAATATACCAGAGTTTATATTTTGTGTCCAAGATTTTATTTGCCTTCAAAAAGACTGCTGTACATGAAGAGAAATATATGAAGTAGAAAAAAAATCAGTTTGAAATGGTTAGTTAAGAGGATGGTGAAATGGTAATTACTGTGATTTATTTACATTTGGCTCATAGTTCTCAGGTTAAAAGTTCATTAAAATCACCAAACTTAAGGGTGCTAAGAAATGCAAGCATTTAATTCAGAAGACAAATATATTTTTTCATAGTTCTAGGGAAAATACATTTTTTTCTCTAAACCTACTGGAAGTCTTGGTAATTATGTTAGAAACAAGAAACACAGAAGATAGTGCAGGCTCTCCGAATAAATGTTAAAGTTTAAGTCATTCATCTATTAAAATGTTTCCATATGTCTGTATACAACAAAGTTTATTGTTTCCCCAACACCTTAGCAAAATGGAATGGCAATTGCAAAGGCACATGACCAGTGAGTAAGGGCAGGAATATGGGTAGGGAAGGGAGAGTATGAGATTGGAAGGATTTAATCTTCAGCCACCTGACTCTTGATTTAGTGCCCTGTCCTTTAAGTTACAACTTTCTCTGAAATATCATTTAAAGTATTGAAACATCCTTTGTCCACATTATAAAGTCCAACTTTCAAACTCACAGAACAAAGAAATAAAAAACAATACTGCATGTTGATAAATATTATAAATGAAAGTGGGATCTCTATACCAAGTTTAATAGTGAATGAAAAATTCTTACAGTTAAAAATTTGGTTAGGAAAATTCAGCACATTCAGTTGTATGCTTCCATCTTCTGCTTTGATCCACATCAAAAAACTAAATCAAGAAAGGCTTAACTGTCTCATGTTGCTGTTCACTAAATACAAGATTATCTTTGTGAGTAAGACTTTTCAATGTGCTGCTTTTTACATCTTCTCCTGATAGCAGAAGTAACCACTGTTCTTGGGGAAAAAAGAACTGAAACCAGCCAAACCTTAAAAGTCATGATGGCCTTTAGGGGTGAGAGAAAGTTTATCCCTTAATTGCTTGCCTACTTCCCACTCACATTTAATATTGGGGGTAAAGTTTGTTGAGTATTTTCCAGAGAGCACTTTTCGCTTCTTTGTTCCTAAGGCTGTAGATCAAGGGATTCAGCATGGGAATCACCACTGTGTAAAACACACAGAGGCTATTTTGTCTGTGTTCATGGACTGGCTGGAGTTGGGCTGTAAGTACATGAAGATGATTGTGCCATAGAAGATGGACACAGCAGTGAGGTGGGAAGCAGAGGTGGAGAAGCCTTTCTTCCGCCCTTCAGCAGAACGCATCCTTTGAATGGTGACACATATGAAGAAGTAAGAAACGAGGATGACCAGGAGGGTGAAGAAGACATTGAGGCCAACCACAAAGAAGACCACCAACTTGCTGATGCGTGTGTTGGAGCATGACAGAGACAAGAGTGGAGGAATGTCACAGAAGAAATAATTAATCTCATTAGAACCACAGGAGAGTCTGAAGGTGCCTGCTGCATGGATAGAGGCATTGAGGAAGCCAGAGACATAGGAACCAATAGCAAGGAGGGCACACACACCTGCTGTCATGGTGGTGGTGTAATGAAGGGGCCTACATACCACTGCATGGCGGTCATAGGCCATGGAGGCCAGAAGGTAGCACTCAACAGTGGCAAACCCCACAAAGAAGAAGAACTGAGCTGCACATCCATTGTAGGAGATGACCTTGTCCCCTGACTGCAATGCATCCATTGTTTTGGGGGCTACAGCTGATGAGTAACCCAAGTCTACAAAGGAGAGGTTACTGAGGAAGAAGTACATTGGAGTGTGGAGATGGGAGTCTGCGTGGATGATCACCATCATTCCCCGCATCGTGATGAGGCAGATGAATAAAAATGCCAGGAGGAGGGATATCTGAAGATTGGGGTCATCTGTTAATACCAAGAGGATAAACTCGGTGACTTCTGTGCTATTCTCCACTGTGACAAACTTGAATTAGCCTGATGATTAAAGACGAGACAGCAACAAAATTCAAATGAAAGGATGAGAGGGGATTATGGGATGATAAAAAAGGTAAAAACTAATGTATAGAGAGAATGTACTGTGTGTAAGATTCATGCTAGAATCTTCTGGTATATTATAGCTTTTAATTCATATGAGGTAGGTGCTATTATGCCCATCTTACAGATAAGAAAGTTAAGGCTCAGGGAGCTGAATATTGAACAAAATAGTCTATTTAGGGGTCAGAATCAAAGTTCGCCCCTTTATATTGCTGAATCCAAAGTCCATACATTGAAGAATTCAATGTTTGAATTCTTCAACATATTTACATCATATAAAGTCAAAATATGATATGGATATAACTTTGTATTTAGTTAATTATTAAACATTAAAAAATCCATCAAAAAAAGTTCATTAAAAATGAACTTTTAATGTTTATTTTTAACGAACATTTAGCATGAGAACTATGAGATGTTTCAAAGTACAGGACTATAAAGCAAAACAAAGTTCCCTAGCTGAATTACGAAACGACTTTCTATTAATTAAAAATATGTACTTTTCCTCATCCATAGACTTTAGCATACTATTTCCTTAGTTATGATAAGGTAGCCAAGATTAAACAGATAAGCAGAAAAAAAAATGAAAATTGTAAAAAGTTACTCGTCTTTATATTTTTCTGATAATATTTCATAAACAGCTTATCATGTACTATATCTTTATTTTATGCAGCACTATAATTTTAATAATAATTAATGATTAAAAACAACATAAATAACATTCCTGAAGGTGATGAGGAAGAATGGAGCTGGTCTAAGTTACTCTGGAAAATGATATCTTAACTGGATACCGTTAGGCTAAAGACACAAAGAACTATAAATAAACATAGCAGTCTAGTGGGTAAATCTGTTTCTTGTGGCGATAGGTATTAACAATTCTGAGACTAATTTGCATGTATACTCAGTTTGAACACATAAATTACAGAAAGGGAATGAGGTTTCTTGATGGTAAAGACAGAAATTACATATAAGCAAAAGAAAAGGCTAGAATGAAACTTGTGGTGCTGGATGAGAGTTTGTGATGCCAGTATAAACTCATTTATCTTAATATATAGAAAATATTACTTAAAATTAATAAATTATTAAGATATTAATATTTTATTTATTTAATATATTAATATTTTAACATATGTGGACAGCCAGATACAGAAATATTACACATGTACAAATACATTGGTTAGTATACACAGACATATTTCCAAGGGCTGTCAACTGAGAGAATCTAGAAGCAGTGACACCATATAGCAAGGAAGCCATCTAGGGCCCATACCTTGGTTTCTAAATATAATTCATCAATAAAAGGAACCCAGCTTCCTTAGAGAAATGGATGGTTTTAGGGCTAAAGTAGGAAAATGCCAGATGAGTCTGGAGAACCTGGTAGTGAGAGAAGGTAAGAAAGTGATCAAGAAAAGAAAGAGAAGAAGGGGTGAGACATGTCAAATGGATCCAGGAACCAACCTGAAGAGCTCCCAGTGACCAAAGTTAAAACAATTTGAGCAAAAAAAATTAAGATAGAACTGGATTATAAACCAAAGAATAAAACAAATATCCCTGAGTCAATACTGACATAAATAAATGATTAAACAATAACAATGAGATAGAAAGAAATAATTATTACAGATACTCCTTTACAAAAAAAATCCAAGTAATATATTTAGATATGCCTGTTTCCAGGAGGTAGATCTTAATTCTTTCCACCTTGAATGTGAACTGAATTTAGTGACTTAATTCCAATAAATACAGAACAGGAAGCTGGGTTCAGTGGCTCACACCTGTAATCCTAGCACTTCAGGAGGTCGAGGTGGGCAGATCACCTGAGGTCAAGAGCTCAGCCTGATCAACATGTAGAAACCCCATCTCTACTAAAAGTACAAAATTAGCTGGGTGTGGTAGTACATGCCTGTAATCCCAGCTACTCGGGAGGATGAGGCAGGAGAATTGCTTAAACCTGGGAGGTGGAGGCTGTGGTGAGCTGAGATCGCACCATTGCACTCCAGTCTGGGCAACAAGAGCGAAACTCCATCTCAAAAAAAAAATAGAAAACAAAAATGAAAAATAGTAACTTTACAGTGGAGAAAGATGGCAAAACCAGTGTCTTGTCACACCAGTGACAAGTCATGTTGATATAATGTGCTCCCGAAATGATGAAAAGCACACACACGCGAGCGCACACACACACACACACACACACACACACACATACACACACACACATATATATATATATATATATTTTTTTTTTTTTGAGACAGATCTCATTCTGTCACCCAGGCTGGAATGCAGAGGCGTGATCTCAGCTCACTGCAACCTCAGCCTCACAAGTTCAAGGGAGTCTCCTGCCTCAGCTTCCTGAGTAGCTGGGACTACAGATGCCTGCCACCATGCCCAAATAATTTTTGTATTTTTAGTGGAGGTGGGGTTTCACCATGTTGGCCAGGCTGGTTTCTAACTCCTAACCTCAAGTGATCCGCCTGCCTTGGCCTCCCAAAGTGCTGGGATTACCAGCGTGAGCCACCGCGCCCTGCCACTTCTGCATTCTTTATCAAGATCTTTAACCTCAGTATCATCATGAGAAGATATCAGATAAACCCAAATTGAGTAAAAAATACTTGATTAGGCCAGGCGTGGTGGCTCACGCCTGTAATCCCAGCACTTTGGGAGGCCGAGGTGGGCGGATCACGAGGTCAAGAGATAGAGACCATCCTGGCCAACACGGTGAAACCCCGTCTCTACTAAAACTACAAAAAATAGCCGGGCATGGTGGCACGTGCCTGTGGTCCCAGCTACTCAGGAGGCTGAGGCGGAAGGATCGCTTGAACCCGGGAGGCGGAAGTTGCTGTGAGTCGAGTTTGCGCCACTGCACTCCAGCCTGGCGACAGAGCTAGACTTCCTCTCAAAAAAAAAAAAATACTTGACTAGTACTCTTCATAAGTGTCAAAGTCATGAAAACCTAGGATTATGTAAAACAGTGACTATAAAACTGTCAAAATTAGAGGAAAGAAATGTGACTAAATACAACATGCTATGCTGGATTGATCCTGAAATAGAAAAAGGACATGAGTGGAAAAACTGGTGATAGCTAAATAAAGTCTGTAGTTTAGTTAATAATATTGTATCAGTTTTAATTTGTTAGTTTTAACAAATGTACCATGGTTATTTTAGCTGTTAACACTGATACAGCTCTGAAGAGTGGAGGAATGCCAAAACTGGATAAAATGACACAGACAAGTGGAGTGGTTTAATGAGTGGAGAGTTTAATAGGCAAGAAAGAAGGGAGAGGAAAGATGGAAGAAGCACCCATGTACAGAGACAGAGGGAAGTGGAGAGAGGAAACCCCAGTGCCAGGCGGATAACAGCCAGTTATATGAGGAGGCTAGAGGAGGCGTGCCTGATTTGCATAAGGCTCAGGGGATTGGTTTGACCAGGCATGTCATTCACGGAGTCTGCAGAAAAAACTGGCCCACCCACCCTAGCCTTTAATATGCAAATACAGGGCGCCATGATGTTCTACACAGGTAGGAATATGTGGGGACAGCCATGATGCCAGGCACACGTGTGGGCTGGGGCAGGAGGACAACTGTGGGCATCATCACGTTTGGGTGGACCCAGTTTCTAAATGGCCTGTATTTGCATATCAATGGTCGCCAGCCAGGCTCTAAGAGACAGGGGCTTTCCTGCTAGACAAGAAATGTTTCTAGAACTGCTTTAAAAGAGAAAATCTTTCCAAGGACCCCTTTTCCTCTCTAGCTAATTTCTTAATGACTCCTAAAACAACCTTAGGGAAAGCTGGGTGAGAGATATATAGAAAATCCCTGTGCTGCCTCTGCAAATTTTCAGTGAAATATTCCAAACTAAGAAGACTTTTGTTAAAGGTGATACAAAATCAGTGAAATAAGTAAGAGTAAAGAAAGTCATGGTATTAAAAAAGAAAATGTGGCCGGGCATGGTGGCTCACCTCTATAATCCTAGCACTTTGGGAGACCAAGGAGAGATCACTTGAGCCCAGAAGTTCAAGACCAGCCTGCACAACATGGTGAAACCACATTTCCACAAAAACTACAAAAATTAGCCAGGTATAGTGGCACAAGTCTGTCGTCCCAGCTACTGAGGCAGGACGATCAATTCAGCCTGGGAGGTAGAGGCTGTAGTGAGCCATGATCACGCCATCCAACCTGGGCAACAGAACAAGACCCTGTCTCAAAAAACAACAACAAACAAAATGTAATTACATGTGCTGTCATGTCACAAAAAAACTAAATCCATTAAGTCATTAAGGAAAATAAACTATTTCAATGTCAAAAACTAAATCTATGTACTGGCATCAGTTTTTGAAGCCTTTCCCATCTTCTCCTACAATGGCTTTCTTTTAATGTTAATTTTATATTTGTTTCAATTTAATAATGCTTCCAGAGATACTTCATACCTATAGCACATACACATATATGGTGTCTCTTCCATCCACATTTTTACCTGTCACTACACTATACACACTATACTGCAACCTTATTTTTTGTTTTTTTTCCCACTTACAATATAGCTTAGAGACCATTATACAGCTTTATAACTGTCAACTGTATTAAATGCTACTGTTGATGAAGTAATTCTTCAAAATAAATTATGCTCTAAAAATATACAAAAAGACACAGGACTGGGAGGAATTAGCTTATGCAAAAATTAATTATATGTTAGAAAAACCAAAAATAATTTCATATAAATTAGTTTAAAAAAATAATACCAAAATAAAAACATTCAAATCTAAAGTGATGTCTCTGCCACCTTTTCCACATTATTAAATGTGAAAACAAGGTGCTTCAGACCTTTTAATTTACAAGGAAAACATCACAAGTTAGAGAAAATAAATATTTCCATGAATCTCACCAAGCAAGTAGGCAAATGTTTTTGGATTAATAAAATGTAGACTTATTTACTGCTAAGAGTTAGAATCTACAAGTATTTGAATCTTAAAGGACAAACCTAAACAGATTTTTCTCAACACTTAGGTTATAAATTATATGCTAAAAACATACTCAAATTAACAGTTTTTTCTTAATTTACCTAGTTAAAAGAAACTGGAAAATACAAATATCATTTGAAATAAACTGTGTGTGTGCGTGTGTGTGTGTGTTACTCTGGAAATACGGTAAGGAAAACTAGTATCATTAAATGTGAACAAATATATACTTAACTGAATATGTCCACATTTAAACAAAGAGGAAGGTTTATTTGCTCTAATTACATTTTAATTATGCAGCCCTATTCAGAACAGTGGGAAAATGCAAGACACCATTCATTAAGGTTTTCATATATATAGCAGATCACTTCTTTCATGGAAAAAATATAGCAATATTTACATTCATAACTTACTGAAGACTGTATTTGAGAACTAGAACACCTCTGTTTCAGGGAAAACATCCTGCTGCCTGGGCTTACATATATGTGCTTCAAGTTTATTTTTATATGTTCGAAAAATAAAAAAAATTTTTCAAATCAGGGCTCAATGCTTTCACTGCCTAGGTCTTTAAGTTTCATTGTAGGTCTATTAGGCAAAAGATTTAAACCTTTCCCTACTGTTGCTTTATTTAAAATATAACCAACAGGAACAAAATTTCAAAAATAATATAATGAAGAACATTCTCAAATTATTACATAGCTAAGAGCTACAATTTAAAATTTTCTATCAATGAGTATTTTTTTATGTTTACTGAACAGTCTCCAAAAGTAAAAGTTATTTAAAATGCCCCATACTACTGGAGAATATAAGTATATTAAAAAGAACTTAAATCACGTTAAAGAAAAACATAAACATGTAGGGAGAAAAAAAGGAAATAACCAAGTGTTTAACTGTTATCATATATGCTCTTAAGTATAAGAGGAATTGGAAATAAAGAGAAACCAGAAGGTCACATAGAAGTAAGGGATATAAACAGTGTTATCACAGGAATCTTTCTAAGAACTAGAGGAATAGACAAAACAAGTAGCTCAAGTCTTAAGCCTATTTCCTAAATACCTATTTGAACTTTTGATCAACCAACCAACTTGTAACTAAAAGCACTGAGAGATTATTAGGGCCCATTCTTGTTCATTATATTTTCTGGTATTTAGGTTGTTCGACAATATGAACCAGTACCTGCAAGGACTCATGGCGTTGCCTCTTTTAACATAATCAACTTTCCATCTAAGAACCAAAAATATTATTTAAACCTGAGTAAAAACTGTATTTAAAAACAAACGCCATTCTTAGGCCTATATACTTTCAATTGACTAAGATTAACAAATACAGATGATTTTTTAACTAAACAAATCATTTTTAAAACACAAACTATAAAAAGAGCCACGTGAAATATTAGTGGCAAAACAGAAACACATGCTATTAAAAATATCAAAGAAGATAAAGCTATGTTTTTCACCTATTCCTAATTCTAAAATTCTGGCAGACTTACTACGTGTAAAAACTGCACAGTGGTGTGTTCCCACATATCATAATGCTCATTTACAAAACTTTTCAATTGCTAGCTTATCAAAGCCACATTGCACATTTTCTCATCAACACAGAAGAGCAGCCCTCCTCTTAAATGCAAATAAAATCCTCTTTGCCTACAGAAATTAATGAAAGCATATATTGTCTGAAAAGTCAATTTTATGCTAATTTAAACACACACACACACACACACACACAGCATATAATGTACATGCCTTTCCAATCTCATGGCCAATTATTCACCTCATAACCTTACAATACACCCACGATTTTGTACTTACAATTTCTGAAATACATTTGAAGTCAAATTTGAGAAAAAGCATTCCTCACAACCAGTAGCCTTCAA